AGAAGTTATGGTAACTTATTTTTATTTTATTTTACAAATCTATCAGTCCATGATAGAATAAGAAAACCACTGGTTTTTCACTCCATATTATTTGAGAACTGCATTGGACAATGTTTCCTCTATGTAATGGCATGCCAATTAGTTCAGGTAGAGGACTGAAGTAGAGTAGAGAGGACTTTCTAGAAGGAGGGATCCTTCTCTGACCCATGGGAACAATAGGGACATATGCAAGGAAGAGACCTCAGACTAGCCCACTTAAAAGTTGTGCCTTGGATTATTTGGGAAGAAATAAATCTCTGCACCAAGGAGAAAAAGATGGAAGTAATGAGTGAAAATTACCCCGAGCATAGTGGTGAATCTATAAAGTGATTGTTCAGTGCTTTCTTCTCAAACTCCTACTCCATTCTCCTTCATGTCTAACTTCCCCTCAAACTATTTAATTTGGAAGAATAGAGTCAGACAATGTTGTGATGCAATTTGCAAGACAACCACCAGAGGAGGCTGCTTCTTTAAGATGTGGTTACATCTGCATTCAGGTGGTGGTTTGACATGCTTATTTTCTTTGTAGTCACAAGACAGACTGTTGTGCAGAAAGGGGCTCTTAGCTTATCAGTAAGGAGTTTCTATAAGATCCCACTGGAGACTAGACCTATTAGACTTGGTGCATTGTAAGCAGCAAGAATCATTTCCTTCTACCAACATGCTTTCTGTCACCTGCTCAGTTCTTGTGATCTTAATATTCAGTAAGTAATATTTTATCCTAACTGTTGATGATATTTTATTTTCCTATAATCATGATAACCTTTAGCCTTCTTCCCCAACTGAAACTCTCCTGCTGTATGTTTCCAACGTAATGTAATTTTTTTGTTGTTGTTTTAAGGCAGGAGCAATGGAGACTCAGTGACCCAGACAGGCCCGGTTACTGTCTCAGAGGGGGCACCTGTGATCTTGAACTGCACTTACCAGACCACTTATTCAATTTCTGTCCTTTTATGGTATGTCCAATATCTCAATAAAGCTCCTCAACTACTGCTGAAGAGCTCAACAGAAAACCAGAGGACAGAAGGTCAAGGTTTTCAGGCCAATCATGTGAAGAGTGACAGCTTTTTCTACCTGAAGAAACCCTCAGCGCAAATGTCAGACTCGGCTGTGTACTACTGTGCTCTGATAGACACCATGAGAGGAGCTGCAGGGGGAGCCGAGCACAAACCCAGAGGGGCACAGGTGCGGCCTGGGTGTGAGCAGCCCTAGGATGGGAGAGTGATATTCTCTCCCTAGGCGGTGTTTACTCAGAGTTTCCTCAAGAAAATGAGTCAACCTCAGGTCCAATTCCCAGAACCTAGGAGGTTATGGATTACTCTGTAGGTAGGGTAGGGCGGATGTCAGTGTTAAAGAGAACCCAGGTTTCAGTCTTCAGAAAGGCCAGTGCTCAGCCAGAAAGGCTTTTTTTTTTTTTTTTTTCCAGACTACAAAACCTCTCATAGGAAACATTTCTAGGAAAACCCTGACATGGGATTCATCTCTACCAAGATACCTATTTAACTATTTAAAATCTCCAGGGATCTTGTGCTCTTCATGCAAACATTTTTGAAAAAAATGAGGCACATAGAATTTGGTCCTTTTTTTTCCTGTACAGGTCTCCCCTACTATGATAGGCTTTGCCTCTCCCTGGTCACTGCTGCAGAAATTTCAACCCAAATCCCCACCAACTCTTCATTCCATGATGCTGCTCAGGACACACAACCATGAAAGGACTTTCAAGACAGGGTGCAGAGGGGCATCTCCTATCACTGTCCTCACCACACAGTAGGTAAGAGGCAGCCCAGTCAGGAAGGGCTGTGTCCAGGAGGCCCTCTTCATGTTCAGTCTCCTCTGCTATCACTCAGATTTTTAAATCCCAAAGTTGTGGTGTAGTCACTCACCTGGGGCTGAGCTTTATTCATCTGAAGTATAAGAAAGGAAGTCAGGATTTTCACCCATCTCAACTCTTTGGACAAAATTGTAGATTAGCCTGAAATATTTCATTATTCTTGTATATTTCTTTGTAAAGCAAGAAAGATCTAAATGCAGAGACCATGGATGCCTCTCACATGAAAGACCCGTTCTTCTGTGTGTATGAAGAGTAGGAAAGAGATACACTGTTTCTTATTGACTAAATTCTTGTATATTTCTTTGTAAAGCAAGAAAGATCTAAATGCAGAGACCATGGATGCCTCTCTCATGAAAGACCCGTTCTTCTGTGTGTATGAAGAGTAGGAAAGAGATACACTGTTTCTTATTGACTAGGGAGCCAAATGGAAATGTAATCTCATATTTCTGAACTCCAAATTTGAACTATAATACCACTACATGGGAAAATGAGGATCTTTCACCTGAACATTGGTCAAATTTCAAGCCCTACAATAAACTTACAAAACAATGAAGATTTCTCTTGGATTCTTATGATTGGCCTTATGATGTCAGCTGAGCTGTGAGTTGAGCAGTTCTTTGAGACAGGAACAAGGATACTGAGAGTTTATTTCCCTCTTACCTCTTTTGCTAGTTATTCTTGGGATTCCTTTTAACTTAAATCTGTGCATTCTCCTTATCTGTCCTGTTCTATATCTTGGTAATTCAACCCCTATGAACTGCATCACCCAGGCTTTACTTGTTTTTTAGCATCTTATTGGATTTAACCTCTGCATAGTAACTGGAAGACATCTATCTGCAGGTGGGAAGACAGAGAAGTTGGTTAATTCTTTGCTCCCTGCCTGCTCAGACGTGGAGGTTCTGATGTTGCCTGCAACCTTCTTTAACTACATATATTGTGGGGAAGTCCCTCCTCCACTGCTCCAGCTCCCAGGAACACTGTCTTTTCACCTTGCTTTTTCATACTTAGGGTCATAATGACTCTCCTTGTTATTAATTAGTCCCTGGGTGCCTCAATGTCCCTTACTGGTTCCCTAACCCTACTCACACCACTCTATGTGTGCCATTAATTGAATTCCCTTTATACTCGTGACTGAGTATGCCTTCTGTTTTCTTGCGTGCACTATGAATGGCACACGTGGAAATGACTTCCTGCTGTTGCTAAACTAGGTGTTTCTCAATACCCCTTTCTGGCTCTTTTGAACTTACCAATATCTGGAGTATTCCTTTATAAAGACTTTTGAATTTGATTTGGATTCTGTTTCTCTTGTGATCCTGACTTTTATTCCCCCTCACTCATTTGCCCAGGGTGCATTTTCTACTATGATACAAGACTCCTAATACTGTGGAATTCTGTAAGCCTTGTCCAGCCTGTATCTACTTTGTATATTTTCATGGGCTTTCATATGCATTCCTCATAGTCATGTGTCTAGATGTGTATGTCTTAATATTCTTTTTTTTAAAGTAATAAACTTCATTTTTATAGCACTTTTAGGTTTACAGAAAAATTGAGCGGGAAGTACAGACAGTCACATACCTCTCCCAACACACACATTTTCTCCTATTATTAACATCTTAATATGCCTTAATATCTTAATTTTTTCTAATAGGGGCAACTTCTCTCTATTCCCCTTCACCAGTTCCAGAACCTGGATTATTAAAAGGGCTAGGGAAGACTTTAGTGTTTGTTTTTGTTGTTGTTGTTGTTGTTTGTTTGCTTGTTTTTTGGTTGCTTTGTTTTGTTTGGCAACTGGCCGGTATGGGGATCCAAACCCATCACCTTGATGTTACAAGGTTGTGCTCTAACCAACTGAGCTAACCAGCCAGCCCATAGAAACTGAAATTTTTAGTGTCATTAGCTTGAGCTTTTCAAATTTTAATATATATATGATGGGCTTTCAAAAAGCTCATGTAAAAATTTATATTATCTCTTAATTCCATTTTTCCACCAGCGTTTTGAAGTAGCCTCACAGATAGATACATAAATACAGACTGACAGAGATAGATAGACAGATAATTATGAGGGATTGGCTCATGTGATGATGGAAGCTAAAAAGTCCCATGATCTGCCATCTGCAAGCTGGGGGCCCAGGAAAGTCAGTAGTGTAAGTCCCAGTCTGAGTCTGAAGACTCAAGAGCAAGAAGCACTGATGTTTGAGGGCAGTAGAAAACAGATGTCCTAGCTCTAGCAGAAAGAGAATTCACCCTTCATACACTTTTTGCCCAATCTGAGTCCTCCACAGATTGGATGATGCCTGCCCACATTGGTGAATGTGAATCTTTTTTATTCAGCTTACCAATTCAAATGCTAATCTCTTCTAGACACACCCTCACAGACATACCCAGAAATAATGATTTACCAGCTACCCTTAGCCTAGTCAAGTTGACACATAAAATTAACCATCACATCCTACAAGTCTGGATGAATTCAAACCAAACAACAACAAAAAAAAAACAACTTCATTATTTTACCATCATATTACTCTTGCACTGTTCTAAAGAATATTAGTTAAACTTTTTAGGCACTAATACACACCAGGCAAATGTCTCAATATTTAAATATTACCATAATACATTGTGGTAAGTACTAATATTATTCCCTAAGAAAACTGAGATTTAGAGAGGCCATTGCTGGTTAATCTGAGATTGGAAACTTGAACTTTTTATTAGTGCAAAATATATATCTGAATCTCTATTTGCAGTTAGGAGGTAGAAAGTGCAAGAAACCATCACTCTCACTCTACAATGAAATTAAACCTGATCATCTATAAAATCACAATTAAAACAAAATGAAACAAACTGCCAGAGATCTGGAGATGCAAAGAAACCTAAATGAATTAAATTCTAGAAATTGTCTGCTTTTGTTTCTTGTGAAATGAAAGATAAAATATCTTCTATAGATAGGGATAAGGGGAAATCAGTGAAATGTTTAAAGAACTTTTAAGAGTCATGTGTTGGCTGGCATGACAGATTAGAATTCTGAGGAGTCACAACTACTGAACAAGTTTATATTGATCCACTAATGTTTCTTCAGGTCTCTTCATAGGATACATAGGTAGCATACTGAATCCTTGGGTAAGAGCTGGAGAGTGGAGAAAAAATTCTCTGTGATATTTTAGGCCATTGCACAGTATAAGTCACCCACTCTCTGAAGGCTGGAACAGGACAGCAAGAAAGAGAGAGTTTGTCCAAGGTGTAAAAAGCACAGTACAGTACTAGAGAGCTGAGAGAATTTTCTCTGAGTAATAAGCTGGCAGCCAGATTATAAAGCAAGAAACTCATTCCACATTTGGGAATGGAGGCAAGTCTGGTTATAAAGCATAAATAGATCTCCAGAATTTTTTCAGTGCTCAGATCTTAAGCCTTGCTAAAAGAAAGTCCTGATCCTAAGTGAAACTAAACCTGCCAAAAATACCAGGCCTAAAACTATAAAAGTTTTTGAATGTGAGTTGGATTCCATTTCCTTTAAGACCACACAGCTCTACTGTAAATCAGATCAACTCACACCCTACCTCAACCATGTACACACCTTAACAGTATGAAAAAGAAGAAACATGAATCTTGAAGGAGTAAATTTGATTTACTTAAATTATTTGCATACAACAAACAATTATAAGACACCTAAAGAAACAAAAACCCAAACATACATACAAATAAACAAAAAGATAACCCAGGGTCAAAAGAGAAAACTGCCGGGGACCAGCCCCAGCACAGAGATTGTAAAGGTCCCCACTGGTAAGGGATCCCCCAAAAGGGAGGAAGGGCAGCGTCGGCGATGGAGCGGCAGCAAACATACAGACCCAAAGGATCTGTTGAATGCTGGGACAACAAACACACAGACTCAAGGGATCTGCTGAATGCTGACAATTTATTGAAGCAAGCATCAGACTTTTATACTTTTCTTTCTTATTTGCTACATAATCATAAAATAATCAATGAACAATATCATAATATCTCTTTGTAAGTGACATATGTTCTAAGAAAAATAGCATTACAGTTTATTCCCAGAAAAGACAATTACAATGTCCTTTCCTTTGAGCAAGAACGTTACAACCCACTGGTCCCATATAATCATCACTTTTCATCACTTGCAATCATTACCAAAACTACATCCATGGTACAATAGACTTTCTATGACGTTATTAAAACTTGATTCACAGCTACATCTAACTATTCTTTATTCCTAAATAAACACTCTAAAAATTAACTTGCTTACAACTTAACTTCTACTTCTATTGTAAAACAAAAGATTGTACATTAACTCCTTCCAAGCAGCCAGGCCAAACTCTCAGGCACCAGACAAGACGAATGCCTACATAGGTTCGTTGTCCCCTTCTGGGCCC